TATTTTTAAACCCTAGTATCTGTACTTCTACTTAAGTAATGAATGTGAATACTTTTGACACCTCTGGCACACTTTTCATTTTTAAATATAAACTGTGAAGAATGTACATGATTTAATCTAATATAAATGGTTTTGACTGTTAACAGACAGATGTAAGTTTATTGTATTAAAATTTGGTTTGTTTAATTCAAACCATCTCTGAGGAACAGAGTCAAATGTAAAAAGTGTTGCAACTGTCCCCGGTCTCCCCTCCTTTTTGCAATGTGGTCTTCACTTGTGACAACACACACATCCATAGATGGATGTAACTCAGATATTGGGGGAGATAAGAAATGTTGTGTAGTGATGTCACAATTGACACATTACATCATTGTGTATTTTAGAGGGGCTGACTTGGCGATCCTACCCATCACATATTTACTGAATATAAGAACAGAGCTGATTGTGTGTAAAATGCTGTTTTGTTGGTAAATAAGACCCATATTTTTATTATGCTTAGAAAGTTTTAGTTTGGTTAGTTAGCTTAACGAAGCTGTCGATCAAGCTGTTTTATAATTGAGCCGTGCTAAAGGGGCTGATTTGGCATATGTAAAAATAAAATAATTTCAAACATTCACCGATTTTAGAAAGACAACAAAAGACAACAGTCCATGATAATTTTTTAAATATATTTTTAAAGTGGAGGAGGAAGGCAAGTTAAGGGGGGAAATATTAAATGCTAATGTTAGCATGTTGCTACCGTGTGCTCAGTAGTCCATTAGTGATAAAACCTTTTTTCTTTTTAGGTTTTTGTGCAGTTAAACACTATAGCAATATGTTTACTGATAAAAAAAAAACAATACAACACAATGTGTCAGACTTTATAAAGACATCTGTCAAGTTCAAATAAAAAGATCACGTGCCTGGCAGCCATATTGGATTTTAACATTAGAGTTAAGTTAAAGTTTCTCTTGTTGGATGTTCTACGTTGATTTTCTAACCCATAACTTCTAATTTCAGAGTACAAATAGAATACACAATAAAAACAAAAAATATATATTCAGTTAAAAACAGCATTTATTATTTAACCTAGTTTTACAGCTTTAAATCTATGAAAAATGTGTTTGTAATCCTTTAAGCGTTTGTCAAATGCATGTATAAATGAATAAAAAAATGCTGTATATGACAGTTTTGATTATACAGTTGTAATTTGCCATATAAATGTTGTATAGTTTTTATAGCAGTGTCAGAATCCAGCCTGGGTTAATGATACAGGTTTTGTTGTTCAGGCTCTGGTTAAAGAAACTCGTAGATAAGAAACCTGTTTGAGTTTCTGTCCCTCACAAAAACACACAGTCCCTCCTTAAATAACAGGCTGGGCTTTCTTACTTGAACTGGCAACAGAAACTCACACATTTTACACATTTTTAGAGCTGCAATTTATTAATCAAAACATTTGATTTGACACTGCTGTTGATTATAACCTTTAAAACCTGAATCTTTGTGCCATAAGCTCTACAGCCGTTATAAAGATATTTTAGAACAGTGAAACATAGTTTCATTTGAAAAAGAAAGGTCAATAATTTGTTTTTTGTATTGTCAAAGTAAATAAATCCAGTTTGTACGAGGTTTCAAAGAAATTCAAATTATTTTCAAGTGAATGATAACAGTTGACGTTAAATAGAAAAGTCCACGCTGCGGTTCAACA